TCTTCTACTTGAATGCAATCGAAAGCCTTTGTCAGGTCTATAAAACATAGATATGCTGGTGTATTGTAGGTACTTGATGGCCTTTTCTGCAATTTGTCTTAGTACAAATATGGCATCTACGCAGGATCATCCGGATCTGAATTCATATTGTTCATCTGATAAAGTTAGTTTATTGATTTTGTTGGTTAGGACTTTTGTGGTAAGCTTAAGTGCAGTGTTCAGTAGATTTATACCTCTATAATTGTTGGGGTCTTCTTTATCTCCTTTCTTGAACATTGGTATCATTATGCTGTTTCTTCATGCGTCTGGTATCTTGCAGTGCAATATTGCCCTTGAGAGTATTCTCAAATCATAACATGTGATTCGTCTTTAAAAGGACAACCACATGCCACGATGACAGTAAATTCTCCTGTTAGTAATTCCATATTAAATCATGAAGAAAAAACCAGAAAAAAACCTCATAACACTATTGTTACGATAATAAATATTATGGCGTATAAAACTGTAAATATATTAGACTTAATTCTTTTCTATTTCTAGTAATTTCGGCGCTCAGATCTGTTTACCTGCCGGCAGAAATTACTAGACCCTTCGAGACCAGCCCATGATTCACCTAATGGATGGAAGGTCATCGATGCATCGCCAGATCCTTCTAGATAACGACATTTTATATATAATAACGGGGATTTTTATTGAGAAGTTAGTCAAAAGAAGATATCGCGATCGGGTATTTTAAATGTAACGCTCCTATATATATATATATATATATATATATATATATATATATATATATATATATATATATATATATATATATATATATATATATATATATATATATATATTATTGTAAGATAAATTAATATAAATAAACTTTAAATAAATTAAATTTGTAAGTGTTATAAATATTGAACCTTTAGTAAATTAAAATAAGAACAATAAATTAGAATTAATAAAGACTACACTATCCCGACATGGTAAGTATTTGGTCTTACATTTAGTTTACTTTAAATGAACACCAAATTCTGATTTTATATGTATGTTATTTAGAAAACATAAATGATCTATCCTCGATATGTTACTAACTTACTAATAGTGGTATTTTATTTTTATTAATTTCCTCTTTTAATATGGTTAACCGGATCCTACTGCATTCTGCCGAGGAATTTACGACACCATGTTTCTTTTAGGACCATACTTAAATCGTTCCATTGAACCCTATGTTCATTTTACTATGCGTGTTAATATATTTGAGATCTATCAAATGCTTTATTTTTAATATAAGATTGATGTTTACTTATTCTAACATTTAATGGCTGTGATGTTTCACCTAAATAAAAATGATCGCATTCACAAGGTATTTTATAAATAAAATTCTTAGTTCTTTCTTATTCGTTGTTAGGTTTAGTTTTAAATAAAATAGATGTCAATATGTTTGTTGTTTTGAATTTTTGTTAAAATGTTGAATTTATTTCCTATCTTTCCAAGTTTTTCTGATAATTCTTTTATGTATGGTATTGCTATTTTCCTCGAATTATTCCTTGTGTGTTTAAAGGTAGTGTGTTATTATATTCTTTTTCCATGGTAAATGGTATTGCCGCTTCTTTATCGTTTATATTATATCATTCAGGAATGTGTCCAACAACTCTGATCCATGAGGCCATATTGAGGATACATCTTCCACATATCTCCAGCATACCACAGAATAAATAACAATCAGAATGCCCACTCTCAGATACCGCCTTTAAGTGTGTCAGCAAACGATCGCCATATTTTAAACGGAGACATAATTTAAATTTTTAGAGATTAATAATTTAGTAAATTTGAAATAATTTAATCTATTCTTCAACTAAAAGTACGAATAAAATAGTGCATATTATGTCTATGGTTGCCGTAGATAAATTAAACAGGGTTAATTTTTCTATACACAGAAGATAAAATTTGACTGAACAGCACTGGTTCCGTTTAAAACATGGCTGATTCCGTCTGCGCGGACTTATAATCTTGACAAGCAGAGTGGGCATTCTGATTGTTTATTATTCTGTGACCATACCATTAAATTTTGTTTAGAAACAATATTTGTTTCAAAATAATCGTCCATAAATATATCTGCTAATAATGGAGATAAACTAGATTATTTAGTGGAAAATAGGTATTATCAATACATAATGACAATAACTCCATTAATAGCTGCCAACAATTTTGTCTTGATTATATTCATCATACTGCCACTCTAAACAGAGTGTTATAACGTTAGCGAAATGTTTTTTTGCAATAAATAATTTTTTTACCTCTGCCATATGTAAAAAATTCTTTCTAGCTTGAAGATAATCACTCCATTCGAAATTTCATTTGCAGTTTTTCCGTTTTTGGAGTACAAGAACAAAATAAAAAATGAGTTTTCAGCGCAACGTTAAAGTATATACTTATTTAAACTTTCTGGGTATCAAAAGCTGTAAAACTTAATTAAAATTTTTCAGAAGAAAAAATATTCATTTTTAGTGGGCCTAAACTGAATACGCAAAAGTATTTTCCATTCATACGCGTCGTTAGTAGACAGAAGCAGGATCCAGTGAGCTGCAGCAGAGTGCCCAGGGTGTACTAAAGTACTTTAATACTCGCTTGTGGAAAAAAGCCAGTAATGCCTGTAGTTAAATACTCCGTTAGTGACCATAGTAGCCGAACTCCATATTTGGAAAACTATTGAGAGACTATCTGAATCATCATTATCATCATCCAGCCGAACTTTCACATCAATTGTTGGATATAGGCCTCCTCCAAACGTCTCCAGTTCTCTCTATCTCTAGCTGCTGCAATCCAGTTTGTTTCTATTCTCTTTAGGTCGTCGGTCCATCGGGTGGGTGGTCTGCCTCGACTTCGCTTGTCGGCTCTTGGTCTCCACTCCAATAATCTCTTCGTCCATTTTCCGTCTTCCATTCTAGCAACATGTCCAGCCCACCTCCACTTTTGTTTATTGATTCGCAGTATAATATCGTCTACGCCAGTTCGTCGGCGTATCTCCTCATTTCTTACGCGATCTTTCAAGGTTAGGCCCAGCATTGATCTCTCCATTCGCCTTTGTGTTACCCTCAGTTTTTCGGCAGTAGCTTTCGTTAAAGTTAAGGTCTCTGCTCCGTAGGTCAAGATTGGTAAGATGCATTGGTTAAATGCCTTCCTTTTCAGGTGAATTGGGATATTTGTTTTAAAAATGTCTCTCATCCGTCCATATGCCGCCCATCCCAACGTGATTCGTCTATTTAGCTCGCAGGTTTGGTTGTCTCTGGTTATTCTAATTACATGTTGTTATTGATTCTACCTTGTTGTTATTGATCTGTATCTCTTCGCTGGGAACCATATTGGTCATCATTTTGGTTTTCTCAAAATTTATCTCCAGCCCAGTTTCTTGTAGTATGTCATTCAGTTCTTGGAGCATGTCTTTGATCTCTCCCAGATTATCTGACAGAAGCACGATATCGTCCGCAAAACGTAGATGGTTTAATCTTTCCCCATCGATGGATATTCCTTTCTGTTGCCATGTTAGTCTTTTAAATGCATACTCGAGAACGGTAATGAACAGCTTTGGTGACATGGTATCACCTTGCCTGACTCCCCTTTTTATCTTTATTTTATTAGTTGCAGAATATAGACTTATGGTTGTTGTGGCATTTTCATATATATTTTTAATTATATTACAATATCTGTGGTGAATCAGAATTCAGACTATCTGAATACAATCTGATAAATGTAATATATATTGATTGCCAAAAAATAGTTTACTTCTAGTTCTAAAGTTGTAAGCCTTAAATCAAATACTGCTTACAAAGAGTTAAAGTTGGTAATTGTTTTTCGGATTCTATGCTAGTAACATCTGGAGTTCCACATTGTGGTTATTGCACATCTCTTTTATTCAATATATTTATAGCTGACATTATCTTAAATAGTCTCTGCGTGAAATTTGCTGATGATCTTAAATTCTGGAGACCAATTAATTGTGCATCGGACCATTTTCTCTTGCCAGCTGATTTAGATATCCACAGAATTTAATATATGTATCCAGAGTAAAGGACCTTGGTATTATTTTCGATGAAAAACTAACTCTTATTAACCATATTAATACAATTTCTCTGAACGGTTTTAAAATGTTGGGTTTTGTATTCTTCTTCCTCTTCGTGCGACTACGATTACTCCTGTTTGTCTGCCTCTTATTCTGTTTCAGTTGTTGTTGACTGTACATTCTGTACTAATCTATCTGGTCCCATTCGGTTTACATGTTCGTTCCAGTATTTTTTTTCTTGTTTTTATCCACCTGTTAATATTTTGAATTTTGCATTGTTCGCGTATACTTCTGTTTGTTTGTCTGACTCTTAATTATATGTCCGCTATTGATTTTAATACTTTCATTTTTGTATTTAGAAATTGCAATTTATTTTCCGTTGACGCTATAAGATTGCTTAAATTGGTGTTTGAACATGCCTCGTTTGTATGGTCGCTATACTATCAAATATGATTATTATTGTCCAATGAATAGGCAACTCTCTTTGCTCCCTCTGAGCCTTAGGAGAGATTATTTTAGTTACAAGTTACTTAGTGGTGACATTGACTGTGCTGCTCTTTTCGGTCATATCTACATTATTGCACCATCCTACCGGAAGCTTCATTGTCAGTTAAAATTTTATGTTCCATTCCATAGAACCTTTTATGGTATTAACAATACTTTTAAATAATTTAAATATTGATATTTTTAACATAACTTCAACAAAACTTAAAAGAAGCAGTTATATTTTATTTACATGAAAGTATTACTAGAATAATATTTATTTTTGTACTAAACCTAAGCATTTACTGTGAATTAGACTATTAATGGGGTTTTCTCATATAATAAATAAACTACCATCCTCAGCTTATATTAGAAGAAAAACAAGAAACTTTGAAAACTGCGTGACTTCGCTGGAATAGTACTAAGCTGAATAATATCTTTACATATTTCATACCAGTTAACAGCAAGTTTTGGATCACAGCTTTGAAATTATTTTTTTCCCTTTGAAAATATATTTTTCAAATGATAATGTATTAAATAAAGATGTGAAGATTTTATACATTTTTATTTCTTGGACCTTTGTGGGATGGAGGTGAGAAGAATATCAGCTGGGAACCAACTCAGGGCTGAGTAGTCAGGCAGAACAACATCCTGATGAGAAGAACAATGGTGTTTCTTTTGAATATTTTTAGATAGGATTCCTCCCATCATTACCTCTAGCAATATGATTCTGCTTAACGCCCCTGGTCATACCACAACTTGGATTTTAAAACATTAAATTTGACATGTTGTGTAACTTCTTATTCTTTACAGTTATTTTAAATAAAAAGGTAAAAAAATAATCATCCATTTTATTTCTTATTTAAATATTGTGTTATATTTGAACATGCATAACATAAATCTTCATTTTTGGCAGCCATCTGATCAAATTTATCAACCATATTTTGATACCTCTCTTGCCTCGACAAAGAATAATTTGATATTTCTGTTGATACTAAATGGGAAAAATTCGTTGATTGCTGAGAGGTAAGTTGTTTTTCAATGACGGGCAGTGGTCCCTGAAAAAATATATTTAAATAAATATTTTTTTTGTAATAATTAATAGAAAATGTAAATAGAAAGGGAAAGGCAACGGCAAATAAAAACTGACTTGAGTACTGCTTAAGCTCGGTACACATATTCGAGCCAAACGGTATGCATACGGTATACGAACGCTATATTCGTTAACGTGTACGGCAGAAAAAACCGCTTGCGTACTGTATTCCACATGTACTTGTTTATTCCACGAGTTCAAAAGAATTTCGTCTTTCAGTTTGGACGCCGCTACTAGACGCAGCGAACATTTTTATTGTCTCATCAAATCGACATTGTGTGAATGACGTGTTCCTTCCTAGAGAGACGTGAGAAAACAGTAAACTGATTATTGTATATATTTTTTATTTTTGTAAGAAACAGAAACACGATAAATCAGTACCCAAATTAGAAATAAAATGAATCTTTCGCACATGAGTGTTCGTTGTTGGTTTTATCGCTTTCCATGGATCGAGATAAGTATGCAATCAGTACGATGTAGATATATTTTCAAGTATCTGTGCGCGTACGGTACGTATACCGTTTGGCTCGCATATCTGTACGCGCCTTTAGATGAGTCTGCACTGTTAGAAACAAAAGTGAAATTTTGGAAAGCCGAATCTTTACTTGGATTTAAGCGCAAACTGTAAAACAGTAAACAGTGTGAATTTTTGATTACCAATATCATTCATAAATAGATTAAAAAATAGAGGGCCACAGTAAGAGCCCTGTGGGATACCTGAACAACAATTCATTTCTTTTGAAATAAAACTATTAATACACATTTGATTTATTTGACCTTTCAAGCCATTTAACAATATGAAAACCTAAACGTAACAACTACATGTTTGATGAAAATACATACATACCTTACATACATTACAATGTTTCATCCCACGTTTGTCAATACTCAGTTTATCGCCAGTTTTTAAAACAGTTGTTACAGTGGCTGGATAATTGACTTGCAGATCTTGGACAAACTTCTTCATTAAATCTTGTATAGAAGAATAGGGATTTACATCTAATTGTCTTACAATGAGTGGTTCCAAGTTATTTATTTTATTGTAAAATGCTAGTTCCTTCATGTCAAAAAGCCTCAGTGGTCTGAGAATTTTAACATCATCATCTCTATCATCACAAAAACCCTAAAACATGATATCACATGATGTAGATATAAAAGATAACAGACAAAATTGATGATATTACCGTATCAATGGATATGTGAGGACCCCTTCCTAAGGATATATTAGAAAGTAAATTAGAAGCTATGTCCACAGATATTTCTGGAGTAAATATAAATTTGCATTTAAAATGCTTTGCACTATCTATCAACATTTGTCTCCTGAAAAATATAAGTTTTAATAAAAAAACCCAAGAAACACTTTTTTATAACTCTCTCAGTATTATGTATTGTATTATATTACTATAGTTCTAGGTGAAGATTATAAGTATTTCAAACAAACTAATATGTAACACATAAATAACTAACACTATTTTCATTTTTTTTATAAGTATAAATGTTAATGATAAGTTTTGTACAATAAAAATGATTTTGAAGCCTTTATATAAAAGTTTATTATACTTTTAATCACACATTAACACGTTCAAGACGGATCGTCATGTTTAAAGTTTTTTCCTACTAGAACCTTGCAATTTATGATATTTCTGTTACGATAAATTATGACCCAAAACCATAAATATATTTATTACTAATATTCTCATTCATTCGCGTATTTTCTAGGTAATACCTACCTGACACACGATGGGTCCCCCTCCGCTATAAAAACAACAATCGAACTTTCTGGAGACGAGCCGATGTAAAAATACCAGTTTGAGACCATTCGTCGCTCTGTATAGTCGAGAAAGCCATCGAACCTTCGACGATGTTCCATTTTAACACATGATTTCATATAAATAACGGGGATTTTCATTGAGAGAAGTCAGTCAGAAAAGAAGATCGCGACGCGTTTAAAATGTAACGTCCGTGTAAATAAATTATTATTATAAGATAAATTATTATAAATAAACGTTAAATTAAGTTTGTAAGTGTTATAAATATCGAACCTTTGATAAATAATAAAAGCAATAAATTAGAATTAATAAAGACATTACATTTCTTTCCGTCAGGCCGGAGAGGTTTTTTTGCGAATTTGAATTCTTTGTCAATAGTAGTATCAGAAAAAAATTAGTTAGCGAAATACAATATCGTAAAAAATAAAAAGTACAGCGACCCACCGGTCTACCGCGCCGACCTGGTGTAATAAACTTGCGATCCACCCGTGGTGGATCGCTTCGGCTGGCATACAGCATTTTACAAGTTTAGAAATTTCTGTTTCTATTGTGATACAGTACTGTTGATTTTATTATCATACAAGTAAGTGTTTTTGAAACATAATAAATAAATTTACAGAGCAATCGACAATATGGTCAGGAAAAAGTTATTTGAAAAATCAAGTAGGTTATCGAAAATATTACATCTAGCAAGCTGTATCAATCAAAATATTGTGTTATCTAATGATACCATTCTTCCACTAGAGCCGCTAGCCGAAAAAAAATTTAATAGCAAGGACCAAACATTACACCACCATGCAAAAACTTCTACGACTTATATCATGTCTAGAAATGATGGACCCAATGACACAGATCAAATTAGTTTACGTGTCAGCACTTCACGTAGAGCATTTTCTCTAGAAATACCTCCAGAAATAGTTTCCAACAGTAACAAAAAACAACCAAACAACCCCATTTTCTACATCAGATGTTTTTTCAGACGATAGTGATAGTAATCTTGACTTTGAATTATTAAGTCTATCTAGCAAGAGTTCATCATCGACAGATTCTGAGGAAGAGGTAGTAGAAGAAAATGAACAACAAAACATAGCACCGTCAGTAGTAGAGTGAACATCAATTAATGAAGCCAATATGTATGTCAACTGTAATTTTGATGAGTACCAACAGCCAAACCATTTTTATACCTTCAGATATTAATGTAGAAGAGCCCTATAGGATATATAAATTGTTTTTGACGGATGAAGTAATTCAACTCATTGTAGATGAAACAAATCGTTTAAATGGGTGGGTCGTTAGCGACCCACCCATGTACTGCTCTGTCTTGAATGTGTTAATAAATGTATATTGATATTTGTTAGATGTGATTATTTTGGGTCAAAAGTGTAAAGGTTTCATAAGAAATTGTTAGCACTTAGTGGTGAACAAAAATCTGCATTTTCTTAGAACTGTATAAAACAGAACAATGTGATAAAAACATTTGTGGGTGGTACTTAAAACAAAAAAAACTCATAGATGATTCTTTATCATCTTAGACTTTACCTCAACAAAACTTTAATATCATTTTTATTGCTTTTTGAAGGTTTTCCATCTATAATCTGTTCCAATTTATTCTTATCATCTTCTGAAATTTCTACATTTTCAGTACAAATAAGTTCATTTAATCTATATGGCTGTGTAACATAATCCGCAAAAGATATGAGATATAAAGTAAATCCGAAAGATTGGACTTCTTTCTTAGCCTTCTCCAATAAATGTCTTCTTTCATCAAGGCTAATATGATACTGATCTAGAATATAAAAAATTAATATAACGAAGTACAAAAAATCTATGTATTTTTCTTAAGTATGAAATTATAGATGTACTAAGTTATTTTAAAGCCTAAATGACATATTGGCAAATACCACATACATACATACCATCAACAAATAAAATAATTGGTTCAAATCTCAACTTCTTTGGAGTGTTTAAATCTAAACCAGTTCTTAAAAAATGCAACAAAGCAGTACTAGGGTGCCCTATTTGATGCCACACCAACACCTTATCTTTTGGGTGAATTAGACGAGATTTTCCCAGTAAAGCTTTGAATTTGTGAACTGTTCCAACTAAAAAGCAATTCTGACAATAAGCATCTTTACTTCTTAGAACGATGCATGGCTTTTCAGTCCTGCATTTATTGCACACCTCAGCACTGAAACAAATTTAAGTAATATACTATTTGCGCGTTTTTAAGTTCCTGTATATTTTAAAATTTACAAGTTGTCATCTTACATTTTAGATGTTTTTGTGATCGGCATAAGTTTATCTGCTTCATTGTCATAAACATCGTCACCAACGCTACACATTTTTTGTGTAATGTTTATTTATATGTTTTGCACAAAATTCTTTAAAATTTCACGTTTTTTAAAAAACCATAACCTACATTAATTCATGTTTCGCGATCACGAAAATACCCTACCGAAAAATCGAAAATACCTTATTTATGTGGTATACCCGGTTCGCTATTCCCAGTCCGAACTGTCTAGTGATTTTAGTAATTATTTTTTTGCGAAGTTAGTTACTTTTTGACAGACTCGAAGTGGCTGGAAATTACTATACAACCAAGCATACGTACTCTTAGTCAATATTAATGTAAACAAAAGTAAATAAAATAGAACTTTGCCGACAATCAATATTTATTTATTTACACCGTATAATGTATTGATAGCAAATAATAAAATTATTTATTGTACAAAATAATAAAAGTGGGAATAAATTCTACAAAATTAAAAAGTCAAAGTGAGGTTAAATAAGACATAGCAAGTTCCTTATGTTGTGACTAGGATGGAATCAATGATTAAAGATTAACAGTTCATTGGATAGCATTAACATAAACTGTTGTTTTATTATCTTACAAAATAAGTGTACTTCCATATGCTAAAAGCAAATATTAGTAATTTGACTAGGCAAAGTCGTGGTTCAATAGTAATTTTTGCTCATTAGCATTTGAGGATGTTAAAATCTTCCACATATATGGTGAATGAATTCAGTGTCCTGGCCGCGGTCTGCAGTCATATAAACCCAAACAAACAACAAAAACCTTCATGTAAGTATAAACAAGTTTATATTAAATTAGAAACAACTAATCTAAAAATATTAACTCTTAAAAAACATTTTATCATATTTATTAAAAAAAACTTACCAACGCATTACAGCTGATGGAACAAATGGAAAACTTTGACTATCCATAATAATAAAATTTAAAATATAACTAACTAATTAACTGAATAGAACTAACAAAAGAATTAAACAAAGATAATAAAACAATAAAACTATATTAAATTAAATAAACAACGCAAATAATACAAATATTTACTACAATATTTTAAATTGTAACAATTCAAATATTATATTTATACAGGGAAAATTTGATGGGTTTAGTATACACCTCCACAATTTAGAATAATTCTTCTTTTTTTCAAAGAAAGAAGTCTGCAATAGTAGTATACTTGAGCTATTAATACTGAGAAGTAGGAATTGTTGTGTTGTAGGTTTCCGACAATGAGTCTGTCAAAATATGCCCTAGCTAAGCGAATAGACAATATCTTTGTTTCCTGCTTAGGCAATTGTTCGTGCTATTTCAAAAAAGTTCAACCGAGATTAAATATGTTTATTATTTTGTATTTAAAAAGTTTGTTATAGGTTTCAATTAGCAGAAAAATATATCTAAATTCTAGTTGTTTTAATTCGTGATTTAAAATTTTGGAACTATTTAAAAGTTTGAATTTGAAATCCAGGTAGCATTAATATACTAAATTTGTGTGTTGGTAGTATTGAGATATGACATGTGTACATAACATGTTTACAATAAACGTCAAATTGTCAAGCTTATTATTCCACTTGACAAGCTGTCTAGAAAGTAAAAACATAAAACATAACCTAAATGATTTGACGATGGCTATGTTTAGGGCTTTAGGAAGAAATATTCCTTTTTTAAAAGAACAATTTGGAGCACTCTTAGGCAATACTAGTACTTCCGTAAAATTTATATGTGGAGTAGTACTTTTAAGTTATGGGTTATCCTTCTCAGATGAAGCTGTCAGAGTGATATCTGTTACCCCTGGCTATTTAATGCCACCATCCTTTTGGATATGGACGACTTTTACGTTCTGTTTCATGGAAATACATTTTTATGAAGTGTTAGTGGACATTGTAACTGTGGGACTTTGTGGGAAGCTGATAGAACCTTTATGGGGACAAATGGAGATCATGACTTTCTTTGCTATAGTTAATTTGGGTGTAGCTGTATTGACCACTGCGTTTTACTTTATTTTATATTGTTGCACCTTTAACACAGAGTTTCTGTTTAGTGTACACATACATGGATTAGCTGGATACATTGCTGGAGTTTGTGTAACAGTGAAACAGATCATGCCTGATCTAGTTATATTGAAGACACCATTTGGAAAAATAAGCAATAGAAATGTACCATTAACAGTATTTTTCTTATCTGTCGTAGTTAAGCTTATAGGACTTGTTGATGGTACTTATCCAACAATGTTTTTCAGTGGGATGATTGTTAGTTGGGTGTATCTGAGGTTTTATCAGAAACATTCTAATGGCACCAGAGGAGATATGGCAGATTATTTTACATTTGCAAGGTAATGTGAGAAAATATTTTTGTTTTCATGCATGATAAATACATAAATAAAAATAGCTTATAGAAGACTTCACATAGGTGATAACAGAAGCTTTTGTGAACATTAAAATTTCTTTATAAACCAACAGAGTTTTGAGGAGGTATTTACACCTGCTTTCAAATGTTTATACTTTTTCATAAAAATCTATGGTTTAAATTAGTGACATACATAATAGAAGAAAAGAGTTTTCTGAGTTGATGTTTGGCCACATCATAAACTTTCAGAAAAGAATAGATCTAAAAGAGATATAATAATTACTATAAAAACAAGTCAATAGTTTCTTGTACATTCCAGTGCAATATAACTATTTAACTGCCCAAAACCTGACTCTCTTCAAACTTATTCAAAAATGTTTTTCTTTTCAATTTAGCTAATTTTAGCTTTAAATGTAGCTAATTTGCTGTAAATAGCTGTCTGAATATTTATACACTAGGCTTTCACAAACCCATGTTTTTATTATTAGAAATTACACAATAATAGCAACAGAACTAATGAACTAACAAATATTTACAAAGAAAACTTAAAATTATAAACAAATAAATTTAATAAACCTGTTTTCTCCAGTATTTTATTCCTAAATCAAAGATGGCTGGAGAACAGCTACTCTTGAATATGACTAACATTTACAAGTTGTTGTTTTGGTGATATGATCATTGCTTCCATTGATAGCCAATGTAACTTGGTAATTATCATGCCAACGCAACAAAGATATATTTTTGACTCATATCTAAGACCATAAATAGATCCATGGGGCTCTTTGTTTTAAACCTTTCAATGGTGCAGTTTGATATGATCAGACCTAACTGTTCCAGTCACAGTTATATCGTACTGTTTCATTTCTTTGAGTAATAGCAAAGAATTAAAATATTTATCTAAGAAAATTTAACTTCTTTCAGGAACACATCTTAAAGCGATCCTTTTTGTAACAGAATTGCCTAAAGGCATATTAGGATATCTTTGGCCTTTTCCCTCGTAGAGTAGAGTAGAGTAAATTTTTATTTGCATAAATTTTTTTAATATAATTGAGCAAATAATGTCACATTATTAATCACAGATTAAAAAAATATATATTAACATCACAGATTAAAATATATTGGCATTACAAATTAAATATGCTGATCAGGGAGATGGATATACCAGGCACTTTGCCACAGTATAGAACTCAATGTTAACTAGGTGTTGAAAAACCCTTCTTTCAAAAGCTCTAGTGTGTTTCCTGTTGAATGTCAGATGGTAGACTATTTTAAAATTTAACAAAAGCATACACATGACTTCTACAGCATTCTCCTGCCTTTAATGCCAAGATCACCCAGACTGCCTTTTTTGGACTATAAAAACGGTTGAGCTATCCAGTGTAGAACCCCAGAAGATTACTCCATATTGCATAACAGAATAAAAGTTTGCATAATATACTGATAGTAAAATCCCCTGGTCTAGCTAGCTCTTCAATATCCATAATGAGTACCAGGCTCTATTCAGTTTCTTTGTCACATTCGATATTTGTTCCCTCCAATTTGACACAACTGTGTTATACTTGTTACTTATAATACATTCTTCGATTTGAAAGTTTCATCTAGAAAGCAACAAAATAGCCAAAAATTTATAGAACTCTTCAGGAGCAATTATAAAAGATGCATTTCCATTTTTCTACTTCGCATATTTTTGGGACTCTGTGCAAATTTGTTGTTAAACAAATTCCAATGGCAAGAAAAGCTTAAAAATATCAATTGGACGACCTCCTGATTTGATCATATCATTTATGATTTGAGGTCGATTTTTAAAGTCTATTTTTGTTTAATTAGAATCCTCTTCCAACTCTGCTTCAAAGTGTAATGTTTACATGAACATCTTGTTTTGTTGACTTTCAATTTTTTAGGCTTAGGTGTGTTCTGTGCTGATAAAAACCTGTTCTCATTTTTAAAGTTGAGGGTTCTAAATTCAATTCCATCCTTTCACAGATGTGTGTAATTATTTTCACCTACGAGTTTTCTGCTAGATATATTGGGTGTAGTTTACATGGAGTAGATACCACATATCCACAGGTAATCAATATTACTATCTAGAAGTTTGTGGAAGGTAATGTGGAAAGAGAACTCTTCTATTCCCACCATGACCTTGCGTGGTCCCTGAAAATTTAATTGTTCCTCACAAGAATAAGCTATGAGTCATTAGAGCATAAACAGCCTATTGGAAGATTATGGAGATGTGTAGGGATGCAAAAGGAGAGTATATTAAAGTAAAAAATGAAAAATTATCAAAAATTGCTAAATAAAAATGTTATGAAAATTACTTCCTCTTGCCTTTTCTTTGTATTTGTATATGATTTGTTTCAGCTTTTTCCCCAATGTCATTCAACCACCAATTGCAGTTTTAAGTAACGTAATTCACACGGGTTTGGTTAAAATAGGATTATGTAGAAAGGTAGTTAGAAAGTTTGATATGTCCAATCCAACTGGTGTTACAGTTACAGTCCCTATTGCAGATCAGCATGATATGGAAAGACGAAGGTAAGTGGTATATTAAACACATACTCTTTTTTATTTATTTACGTTATAATATGAGTTTATAAATGAAACTCTTTAATATTGATCTGAAACATCTGTTGTCATGACAATCGGTATGATCTCTTATTCCATTATGTCCTTTCTCCGATGATGCTCTTTAATGCCATTTTTTACATTGAAACATTTCTTTTTCGACCTTCTTCTTTTACGTTTTCTGCACTTACTTTTGGATTTGAGCATCTGGTTTAATGCTCCGATAACTACTTCTTCTTGCCCTAATCGTTTAAATCTTCATATCTTTTACTCTCTTGTTTTTTTCCAAACATCTTGTTTTGTCTATATTATTTAAGAGCCCAAATTGCTTTGTTGACTCCTTCAGTTTTTTAAACAGATTGTCAAGTTCAATACCTGTACCTCATAAAATATTCAAATGAGAAATAAATAAATTGAAATCAAGTCATTTTGTTTTTAAAAATGGTTCCAAATTTTAATAAGAAGGCCATTGTATATATTTTCCTTCTCAGATATCCCTATTTTTAGATAAAACAAATATTTGCTTATCTGTTGAATTTAAAATAGTTACATTTAAAGTAAAAACATATGTAAACTTTAATATTCGAGAAAAAATCGGGTGTATAGGAGAATGAAACGTTTTAGATTTATTTAATATAATACTAAAATATTTGCTACTGTATACTACTGGAACAGTGCAAATACTAAGTCGGTGAAAGAAGATAGAAAATTTAATAGAACTCAAATTTCAATTTAAATCTATATACATAGAGTTGGGATAAAATTTAATTCCAAGTAAAGATCTTTGAAATGAAAAACATGTCATCATGAATATGACATGTCTAATTTCTTTATTACTTCATCGTTCTATATGCATAAAAAGAATTAAGGCTTCTGACATTTTCATTATTTTTTATATTAAGGTGTTGTATTTTTTAGACAAATCGCTCTAAAAGCCCTAAGCGAAAGGTTATCGAAGTCATACAGCGATAAACAACCGTTGTTACCACCGAAACAAAGTCCAAAAACGTTACTACCACTTCACGCACCGTCAACATCGAAACAAATCCACCAGAGTCCCCAAATTTTGCCCAAAGCACAATCTGACATCAGTCCTCCGATGAACATAACCCAAAAATCAGATGAGTAACATTTAAGTCTTAACCTAAAGTATGTATAGAATTGTTACATTATTTTGTAATATATGTGAAGTCTTATTAAGAAAATAAAGTATTTATTGTTCGTAAGTTGTTTGTTTCAATTTCTTACACACATCAAGAGATTATATGACTAGAAAAGGTACGTTCATCCATTCTGTCAATGTGCCCATACATACATCAGAGAAAAAAAAACAAAAGCATCCCGTAGCCACTAAAAAATGCTCTGAATGCACATATTTTTTTCTTATAATAATAACGTTATTTCAATACGGAGTTGAGCTGGGTACGCAAATAAGGCTATTTGGTATTAAACACATGTCTTTATTTTTTGATAATACAACAAAATAGGGTGGCTAATAATTTAGCCACCTAACGTTCCTGATCTCGACCAACGCTCGTGAATAGAAGCTAAAACTGTGGACACAAATAAATATAAGTACACACAAATAAGTTATGTTGTTTTTATTTAAAAAAATAAACATTAATTTTAAACTAAATTAGCACGCTACAATTTTAATAAAAAGCATATTCTAATTAAAGAAAAAATTCAAAATAAAAGAAATATTATTAGGTATTAACAACACTTTTAACTATTTTTCAATTGAATTTTTTCGAAAAGGCTCAAAACATTGCATACAAAGAGCGACTTTACATTCTGTACGCTGTATACTAGATCTTTTTACACTTTTTTTAGTGCTACAAAAGGCACATCTATTGTATTTACCCATTTCAAGTAAATGTTCGCCAACATTGAAAATAACTTGATGTCTATTGTCGTGTCTATTGCCGTGACTGATGTGTCTGAATCGACCTTTACAGTGACACCTTCAGTTTTTCTTCCAAGCCTCTTTCTATTTGTAAAGTCTCCTATTAATTGGTCAGCTAGTTGGCAATCAAAAAGGCAACCTCGAAAGAGGCTTGTAACGCTTTTTGGTTAACTGTTGTGTATTTTTGGAAATTAAACTGCTGTGACGTTAGTTTGGTGGCATATCGTTGAAAATAAGATTCATCTTTATTCTTTAACTGTGGATGCTTATTCTTGTATTCAAATAATCTACAAGAGGGCGAACTTTGTACAACTTATCAAAACTTTTGCCTTTAGCCACCATCTTTGTGTTATCATTCAGATGTAAATATTTTAGTATCTGAAGGAAGAGACATAATTTTTGCAATTTTGGAGACTGAGAAATTTTCCTTAGAAGACCAATATAGGTATATATCTTACTGATGGTAATCGATGGAACCCCATAATAATCAGTATTCCCGAGAACGCTTTGAGTTCTTCAACGCTAATACTTAGCTGAATACCATTCTGATGTGCGTATAAGTTAGATTTTTCTACTAATTTTTCTAAAAAACTGGCCAAAAATTGTTAAGAATATTGCTATTGGAGATGACACATCTACCAGTATCTTCAGACCAAATGGACGCTCATATGTAAAAGAATCAAATCTAAGGTTTGTTTCTTGTTTGATGAAATTATTATGCTTTGGTTAAATTAGTTCTCACGCTATCAAACGCTTTATTAAAATCTATCAGACACATATATGCTGGTTTGCTGTATTCCAGCGACTTTTCTTTTATTTGTCTTATTACAAAAACTGCATCCGTGCATGATCTTCCTTTCCGAAATCCTTACTGTTCCTCTTGCAGAGATATTCGTTCGTTTATTTTTGTCGCTATGATTCTTGTTGTCAATTTGAGTGTTGTATTTAAAAGATTTATTGCTCGATAATTATGTCTTTCTTATCTCCTTTTTTTGAAGAATATCACCATGATCGCTCTCTTCCATTCATCTGGTATTCTGTTCGTGGTGATTATCTTATTAATAAGAAGTTGCAGTTGTTGTACAAGGTAATCACCTCCATATTTTAAGAGTTCATTTGGTATTTGATCTTTTCCTGGTGACTTTCTGTTTTTTAATTTGTTTATTCCTTCTTTCACATACTTTTGGGAGATTTCGGTCTTTTCCTCAGTTATTATATTTGGCACCGAAGCACACATGACTAATAAGAGCCATTTCTATATTCCCAAATATTTAACCTATGTAACTCATCATCCATTAGGTAAAGCCCACGGAGGTAGGGCAATTATTATAAGAAACAATATTAAGCATCATGAAATACATCCAAGCCACACCAGTGTCGGTCGAAGATTCACAAAGCCCGATTATTCTATCTGCTGTTTACTGTCCACCGAATAAAATAATTAAAGCTCATCATTTTACTGAATACTTAAAGATGCTCGGACACCGTTTCATTACTGCTGGAAATTTTGACAGAATACAGACAGTGTTTTGACAGACAGAATTCTGTCTCCGCCTTCTATATAAAATGTAGCTTCTCCATTTCTTAAATTTTAAAGTGTTTGTTTGTCTTTGTTTAGTGTATTTGTTATGTCCCAATTTACATTTATAACATTCTATTTCTGCTGGATAGGCCACAACTGACGAAATGCCCCTGAGGATGATCTTGGGCAAGATTTGATTAACTACTGTGTTCGATATTTGCCTTGTGTACCATCAAAGTTCATTTATTTGAACTCAACCTTATATCAAATTAGAAATGTTTGGAACGGTTTTTAAAATCCCCGCCCATTGTGACGTCAGAGCTTAGATAGTCCATTGTCTATACATTTGCTTATCTAAACTGAAAATATTTTCTATTTTTTGCATTTCCCGAAGCATCTGTACGTTGGTGTATGTTGATTTTCAAGAACTTTTTGTCCAAACCATCGTGGGATATATATTTAAATAATTGAAAGAAAATGAAAACTTATATTACTTTATTATAAATTGCACATTATTCAATATATAATAAATATATCTAAAACCTTACAAAAATCAGTTCAAGTTGTTCATCAATAGATGTCACGTTACAAACAAATGTTATATCAACGAAATATTGTATTACGAGCATAACAAAAATATAATTTAAAAAAATATCGATTTTGATATTACTAAAAATATCTACGGCAGTGAAATTTATTGGTAACACATCGACGAATTCACACAAAAATCATAAATGGTGAGAATAAAACGTTTTAATGAATTTTCATGCAGTTATTGGATACTTAAATGGATGTAGGCATCTTCAAACAGACATGATCGAAGCGACAGACCAAAGCACTGGAAAGTAGAATTAAAGAAGAAGGGGAAAGTAAACAAACTACATAGTTGATGGGGGAAAATAATAGAAGGAAATAAATGATTAATACTGAGAAATGATGGCAGACAACAGAAATTTGAAAATTTATAGCAATCTGAGAATATAGGAGTGACTGTTGCAGAAGAGACAAAGAGAAAGGAACAGATAAAAGCCTAAGAAGAGTAGGAGGCAGTAGGATCGCTATAACCCATAAAGAATGCAAAAAATGTATCAAGTGTAGTCAAAATCAGAATACATTAAAGATCAATTCAATCAACAGCACTGTACACATGTGAAATATGAATCATGAAATAGAAAGTGGAAAGATCGATGGAGATCAGAGAAAATAGAGAAGGGCCGAAAAAAAAAATAGGAAAAACGAACCAAGAGATTATGGGCCAAAGGCCCCATGGACTGTAGCACAATTTTGATACATATGTCGCAAATATATTTATAAATAAAGTTTTATTACTCAATTCTTAAAATGTTTACAAGTACTTTTGTGTGAAATCGATGATATATTAAATGTCCAAAATAAGTAAAAAACATAATATCTACATAAATAGTACATGATTATACACAAACAATATGTATCGTTATAAATGAATGGAAATTCTTTAACAATTCAGTGTAAAATATAAAAGGAAATCTGAAACAATTACATTTTTATATCATTTCTCTTTTTTTATAATTATCTCTGAATATCTACATATAAGTGCGTAAGATTTGAATAAAAATGGAAGAAGAAAAAAAGCAAACTGCCTTTTAAATTACTAAAAGTCCTAAAAATAATATATCGGAAGAAATAATCATTCAGTAATACAGACAACGACAAAAATTCGTTAGTCACGAGTCTATTATGAAAAGTCAGTTAAATAAAGGCAAGAAATATCAAACTTGTCATAGAAACAGAAAAAAAACAAATATCTTTATCGGACTCCTCCGACTAAAGGGATCGTTTCGTCGGAATTAATACAATGGTGCTTGTGCAAGGTGCTTATTATTACTGTAACTACTAAGTTTTAGTTAATATTATCTGCTATTTAGATATATTTGCAGATAGCACCCGCCACTAGCTTTCATAGTCCAATATGCGTTGACAGTAATGGTGTTAAATCTGTGATCAACAAAATGGTAATATTCCAATAAAAAATCAATTAAATCAAGAAAACTAAACAAAACAATATTGCTTGCATGGGTATAACAAGCGTCGTATCAAAAATTGGAGAAAATTTTTAGGAAACTAAAAAGAACAAATAAAAGAAATATGACGAAAACCATAACAGAGAAATATAGGAGCGAAGTTGACAAACATTCGTAAACAAAAATAAATTTTTAATTGAAGAAATCTCACTACAAATAAAATGGTGAAAATTTTCTATAAACGACTCCTTTACTATTTAACACTAAATTTTAAGACGATTTAAACAAAAAAAGACTATCTAAACATGTAATGCCTTTAAAACAGTCTTAAAATATTTGCAAAAGCGAGTATAAGTCACTTTAATTTAAGATTGACATTTATATGTCAAATATTTTGACATCTGTCAAAAATAATCTAAAAACAAACGTAATTATCAAATTTATTCAAATTTGACGTTTACGTGTCAAAAATTTTGACACCTGTCACGGTAATCATCAAAGGAAATATCTTTAATTCGAAATTAGCGTTTATGTTATATATTTTGACACCTGTCACAATAGATATCAAACTAAAATGTCTTTAATATAAATTTGACATTTTAAGACAAATATTATGACCTGTCGCAATAGTAATCAAAGAAAAACAAACGAAAATGTCTGAAATTCAAATTTGACGTCTGTCTCAAATATTTTGACACCTGTCTGAATACTCTTCAAATAAAAACAAACGAAAATGTCTTCACTCTAAATTTCACACTTTTATGCCAAACAGTTTGACATCTGTCACAAACCGCAAAG